CGAAACCAAAACAGCAAGAATCGAACCTTATAAGACCGAGCCTCGCCTTCACCCCTTCCTTTCTCGCCTGCGAGATTTCCCAGAACCGAACCTCCTCTCGGCTCTCACCCTTAACTGAACCTACCTTCGGTTTCCACCCCCTGAAGACTGAACCCTCGACTCCCATTTCCGAACTTCGCAAATTTCGCTTCTTTTCCCGGTTTTCGACCATTTTCGCGTTTTAAGCCCGTTTTTCATGATTTTGACGTGGGATTTTCACCCAAACTCATATATTAACATATAAGACCCTAAATATTCATAATTTAAACACATTTTTAGGGAAATATGTATTTAAGAATAAAATCTAGTGGGTAAGATATTGAGGTGGAGTGTTGACTTTACCTTTAAGTCATAACACAAGCAACCCACCACACCCACTCCAGGGCCATACTCAGTCACTATTCCTCCATACTTCGTCAATTAGTTTTCCTTTCACACTCTTTCACTAGCCCATAATCAGATCAAATGGCTGGAAACCTTCACTTCTCTTTCCACAATATTCACTCCTTCTCAAGAAGAATCAAACCCATTTCTCTGTCATTTTCTCTCTCTAAAAACTCAAAATTGAAGGCTATTATTGAGTATTTCTCTCCAAGTTTGGTAAGTAACTTCATCCTACATTTTATTATCTTTCATCCTTTCACATAACTCATGGATTCCTTACACAAATATCATCATATTTGTTACTAGATCTTCAAGTCCTCAAGTATTTCCCAAGTGTTCTTGACTTGGAAACTCCCTTTCTTCATCATCCATCTACTAAAATCACTCAAGGTGATTTCATACCCCTACATTTTCATGTTCTCCTCAAGTTTTAGGGGGGGGGGGAGAATACAAGTTAAAACACCAACAACATAACTAAACTCAAACATTAGCTTTCAACAGAAAAGTTAATGTTCGTTCACAAACAGTTTTGAACATCTTAAACTTTTTAGATTTAAAAACTATATTAGGTGCAATTATTTCAGGTTTATACCTTTAAAATGACTACTTGCATATGTCCATAAGATTTTTCTACAATTTATGGTGATTTTTACAAAACTGTCTATCACTGTAGCTACGAATTCGGACCTGTCTGTGGATATGAACATTTTCACACCAGTTAGGGGCTTCTAAAAATCATAATAAAACTTGTGAACAAACTAGACACATCTTCTAAACTCTCAGAGTTTATGGATCTACTTTTCGATTTCGCATGATTTTTTTGTGATTTTTGTAAATTAGTGCAGAAATGGTAAAAACGAATTTACATATTACAACTTTAATAACACTTTGGGACATATTACAACTTTAATAACACTTTGGGACATGTTGAGCAAAATGTAAATCTTTGATGACTTCATATTTTTCATGTGTTTTCTGTTGGGATATAATTATATTACAGAAAAATGTTCACTAAATTGTAAGAACTCTTTATTATTACAATTAATGCATGATGCGGCATAGAAAACATAGTTATGTTTTTCTATATATTCTTCTTACACAGAAAAAGAGTACTACACATTACAAACATTTTTATAAACTATAATAGGTATAGTTTATGTTACATATACATTACCTAAGAGTACATTTCTACAAAAGGGGTTTTCAACTTCACACTACGTAAATCTGTTAATGAATAAATTTGTGAGACATTCGTTTCACGTTACTTCCAAAGTAGCGCAACAAAAGTCCTGCAATTATTACCAGAATCTCTTGTAGGGGGAACGTGATAGTTGTGTATAGATCTATATTGGGTTTGACAAACCCACACCTTATCTACATGCAACAGCTAGACCGACAGGTCTGGGGTGACAAATGTCATTAATATTCTGACGCCTGATGAACGTCGTATACAAGGCCGACTAAGTCATAATATGGTTATAATAACTCACATGTGGTATTAACAAAACATAAGATTTACGGGATTTCCAGTTAAACTAACAAGTTTATGTAGATCTAAACTTGCTTGATTTACAATTTTATGTGGAAAAGTACTAGTACGTTATTAGTCTTGGCATTTAAGACTACAATAAATTTTAAAAGGGAAAAATATCGGATTTTTCTGGAAAAAACATTACTTTTACAAGAAAGGATTTCAACATTTCATTCAAAAGCTTATGAACTCACCAACTTAATTGTTGACACTCTTTCAAAACTACTTATATTCTCAGGAAATCAGTAAAACAAGTAATCGGCTGCATTTGAGGATGGAACGCTAAAGCATCTAACATTGTATTTTTGTCAACATAATGTAATTGATTTAGAAACATGTAAACTTATACTATGATGTAATTCTTTTCAATTATATTTATGTTGTTTGTTTGTACTTTGAGCACTATTATACTCGTTGTTGTGATACTATACATGAAGTCCTCCACCCCCGGACGTTTTCTGCTATCCTTGGTTTGGGGGTGTGACAAAACCTCCCTTCCTTCTGCCCCATACTTATAAAGTAATGTGATTACTTTACATTATAATATGAGGTTGCTTTTGATTTTGCATGAGTATATAAAGGATGTGTCATGCATAAATTTTGGCTAGTGGCTTAGTCTTAAAAACACTCTCTTCTTTCTTCTTCTTTATGACCAAAACCGTAAGATGTGTGATGCATCTTCTCTTTCTTTCTTTTGAAGATTATTCAAGACTTTGGTGGCTTAAAGTGCTTCTCTTTTAGTGTTTATTTGAGTCAAGCACTTAAAGGCTTAAGAAGTACTTTATATAAGAAGGAACTAGCATTCCAAGTGTCTTAGACTTGATGGTGGATAGACATAGAGAAATTCTATTCTTGAATTTTTTTCTATCTTTATCAACACCCCAAAACCAAGTGGGTTCAAAGGCTTTATATATATATATATATATATATATATAT